CGGGATTTTGTCCCCTTGAAGCGACATTCACGAGTCATGAGCTGGTATGCCGGAACGGTCCCCTGCCGGCACTGGTGAGTGGGCCAGGGGTGGTCATCCCTGCGCGGCCAGCGCGAGGGGCCGAGTGTGGAGTCTGGGCGCGACCGGAGCTTCGTCAAAATGAGTTTGTCTCCATCTTGGTGCGAAGTCATGCTGACAAATGCATACGTAAAAAGGCTGGTCATCCTTTTGGGGCCCCAGCCAAGCTGAAAAGGGTACCCATATGCACGTATTTGCAAGGGCTCCTTGAAGGATGTGTCTCAGATGCGTTTGGAGGATCATGTGAGCAGAAATCGCCTTTGTAAAGCAGCTAATACTTTTGGGAATCTGTCTAGCCCCTGTTTGAGTTCTAGTATTGACCAGGATTAAGCGCAAACGCTTCGCGCGCGGGCCTCAGCGGGGCTGATTGATTTAGAGGCTGCTTTGATCTCCGTTCTACTCCAGGGCGGCGTGGGGAAGCAAGAAACGCCGTTCAGCCTGGCCATGCGTGAAATCATAGCTGCGTGAAGTATGAGGGTCACCACGGGCGGACGTGCATGAATGGACGCTGGGCTGTAGCCGGCTGCCTTGAGGCCAGAGATAAGCTGTAATACGGGCAAGGGTCGAGCAAGAACTGTGCCAAGGGCGTGCGCTGGGGGGCTGGCGTGCGAGAGTAAGGGGCCAAAGGCCAAAGCATCAAGAACGCGTGGGCTGCCGCCCTGCCAGAGCCTGGGGCTGCGGGCTTGCTTCAGGGCAGCTGGAGGCAGCTGGAGCATGGATTTGCCGCGCGGCATGGGCCGGGTTGGGGCCTTTGCAGCATAATTTCCCGAAGCTAAATCTTTAGTTAAAGCCGCCTGCGCGAAAGTTTGTTTTTATGGCTGCTTTCGGCCACAAGAGAGCAGTCAACCACAAGAAGGTTGACCCGCCCGAGGCAGGGCGTACCGATGCCCACTTCCCCTCCCCGAGGCGCCGGTGCGGTCGCCTTTTGGCCTTTCGGGGAAGGGGGTTGGCATCTACTCCTCACAAGAAGGAAGCCACGGTCGATATCCCAATTGTTGCAATGGGTCCAAATTCAACCACCAGGAACTGAACCGCAGATTCTCGTCCTTTTCCATTTGCCAGGGCAAGCCATTTTCAGGGGACTTGGTCGCTCCTTGAGTTTACCTTGATTTACCATTGTTGAATTCGTGCAAGTTTGCAGGAGTAGGACAACTTAGATTTGTGCTCTGTACTAAAAATGAGCATGAGGGTGACGGTGAGGGTGAGGATGATGAGTATGATGAGTGTGAGGATGAGGATGATGATGATGATGGTGGTGGTGGTGGTGGTGATGGTGGTGGTGGTGGTGGTGATGGTGGTGGTGGTGGTGGTGGTCATGATGATGAGGATGATGAGGATGATGAGGATGATGTTGATGATGATGATGATGATGATGAGGGTGACGGTGACGGTGACGGTGAGGGTGAGGATGAGGATGAGGATGAGGATGAGGATGCGGATGAGGAGGATGAGGAGGACGATGTCGAGGACCTTGACTGTGACGATGACCAGACGATGACCGTGACCATATGACGATGACGATGACGACGGTGCTGCTGCTGCTGCTGCTGACGCTGCTAGAAACCCTTTGAAGCGTGGGTGTAGCGTTGAACACTGAGCAAGGCATGGAGCGGGCTCGCAGAATTGACAATCAACCACAAGGCAGCAGCTCAACCCGTGTGCCCAAAAAGAGATCCCTAATTCGATCAACCTGGAATCAATTGCTGAGGGACTTGGTACCCTCGAACGGTAATTTCATTTTGACGACCCCGCAAGACTGGGCCCTTTTGAATCAAGGCTTAGTTCCAGCGATGCCACGCAATCCAACAGGTGTCTTCACGAGCAAAGCAGCCTTCATGGACGGTCAACTGTCCTTCGTTTGTTGATGTGATTAAGGCTGGCCCTTTTGACACCCCTGTTCAAAATAAAAAGAGGCCCTCGATGTTTTGTGGCAAGCGACCGATACGGAGCTCACCATGAGGTAGCCCTTCACTACTTGGGGATTACTGCTTGGCCACCGCTTGCGGGCGTTGTCTTTGCTGGCTTGTTCTTTCCCGCAGTGGACTACCCTGCGGGGAGGACTTATTTCAGGTTTGGGCAAAGGGGATTGGTATATACCCCTTGCAAAAAGGATGTTATTGTTGTTTCGCCGAGTATTGCCAGTGGCAGTGGGGAAAACCTACCACGATTTACGAGGGTTTGCAGCTTGAATGTGGACGGTCAGTGCCTCCTGGAGATTATCGCAAAAGACCCGCAACCATGGTAAGTAAGCGAATTACAATGACCATGACAAACTCAATTCTTGTAACATTTCCAAACACTTTAATCGTTTCAACAACTGAACAGTGTTTTCCCACTTTATTTGCCCAACGAGTACATTATTCGAACTGAAACCAGAGCCATCCATTTTCAACCAAGCTGATGTAAAGGACACTCATTGTCAAATGATCCGACCCGTATCATGGTGAGCTCGTTCTACCCCGCCCTCCCCCCCTTTCCCAGGGAATCGGTGGAATCGTAAGCAAGTAGATGCCTTTGGCCCGTCCTTTTCGCTTCCGCGATGAAGAAGATCTCCGTGACCGGCAGATGGGCTCGCTGTTGGGTAAATCGGAGGCTGGCCGCCCAATTTCGGAGAGGGCCGAGGCCTGGAGACTGGGGCGGGCACGATGAGTTCTCCGGCTTCAATGCGGGCGACGTGAAGCACCAACCAAAACGAAGACCGGTGCGCCGAAACCCGAAAGTTGCCGCGCACGCGCGCGCGAGCCGGCAGCATGGCACCGTTGCCAGGCGCGAGCTCCCCGCAGCTGGCGAGTCGCCCCGGGGTTGCCTCCCCGAGGTGGGGGTCAGAGAGCAGGAGGCTGCTTGGTGGAACCGAGAAGACCGAATCATGCGGGTGCTCAGTTTTCGTTTGAGCAACAGCCGAGAGACTGGGTCCCAGTTATCGGACATTCTAATATTTGTGATTGAGGGAAGCAAAACAACTGAAGAAGACTATTGCTTGGTTGCTCTTTTCTCCGACCCCCAATTGTTTGTTTGTTTGTTTGTTTGTTTGTTTGTTTGTTTGTTTGTTTGTTTGTTGGTTGGTTTGTTTGCTTGGAATATGACAAACGCTTTCCCGCTAGCTAGCCACACATCGGTTGCTAGTGGGTTGTGTCAAAACCAACAGATTCAGAAGTCAGGGTTGGGTCACTTCTGGCAAATATTCTTTTTGTGGAGAGTTCCTCCTTTGTAGGTGGCTTCCGCCGTCTTTCTTTGACGTCTTTACAATGTCTCCGGCGATGCCAACTCTCCTACCCCAGAAAAGCCCTCGGCTTGGCTTCGTCGATTCGTGAGGGGGGGGGGGGGGGCGTGCCCAGGTCTCCAACATAGTTGCCAGCTTTAGATGGTTTGAGTATCAACTTGGGGGGCCATGGAATGGAACGGTGTCCTTTTGGGGTGGGTTGGAAAAAGAAGAAGCAACAGCACACTGAACCGAGCACTCCGCTAGGAGCATGCAGAGCCCTGCCTCTGTGGCTTCTGCCCGGGTGGCCTACACGCCGGCACCGCGGCCCTCAGTGACCTCGTCGCAGGCGCCGGGGCGGGTTGCCGCGGGGGGCTGGGGGGTGGGGGGGACTGACGGGCACTGGATGTGTGGGTGTTTCTTGCGGGAGCCCTTTTCAGGTTGGTTGAAAAGGAAAAGCAACAGGAAGACCCCAGTGGGTGTGGGGAGTGCCGGATGGAGCGGTCTTGGACTGGAGCTGAGCTGTCGACTGACCTCCTTGCTCAAGGTGGAGCGCCGTTGCTTGAAGGCCGCAGGAACATTGGGTCTCCAGGCAAAGTCTGCTGGTTGGGCATGCGCTCCGGATCCGGCGAGCAGCCCGTTGGCTTCCTAAGCTCCGAGCTCGACGGAGAAGAGTCTTTCGAGCAAACAGTGAGTTGGTGAGCATGCAGCTAGGCTGGTCCTCATGCTTGCATCTCACACAGATGTGCAACACACGCACGGGTATTTTGTTTTTGAACACTTGGGGGTGATCCATATAGCCCGCCATCTTTTAGGGCCAAATCAACACGCACCTATGCTGGCGTGTCTCCAAATGGGGAACAGGTAGAGGGAAAACAAAAGAACACGACTTAAGACAGCAACTTGTCAGCAAGTTGTCAGCAACTTGCTTGCAACACAACGAAGGTTCCTTTCTTGGGCCGTTTGAAATGAGGCCATGGTGGAACACACGGCAGAACATGGTAAACTGACATGGAACGACTGCTCGGATTTGGTGGATATTTTGGTTTCAAAGCACATGGTCAAAGAACACGGTCAAAGAACATGCTACAGTAAAGCAACAAGAGGTATAGCACATGAGGTTTGGTCAATACTTCCAGTACTCCATGGTGGATTTGGGATGGACCCGGGGGGACGAGGTCTAAGTTTTCCGCACAAAACCATTTCCATCTTGGGAGCAACCAAGTTTGGCCTTGGCCTCCCTCCACATGGGCAACAAAAGGGGCTAAATAGATACTGGCACATACTCCCACGATCATGGCCAAATCCGGTTTCACACAAATCACCAAGCCTATTCTATTCTTTTGGTCCCCATGCAGTTGACACACGCTCTGGAAGTAGAACCTCCTTCTGAAGCCAAAACGACACCAGCCACACGTCAGGCGCGGGTGGGGCCGAGCCCAAAGGCGTCGAGCCCTTCCAAGCTGCAGAAGCCCTCCAGCCTACGCCCCGGCTGGTTTGGATACGGTTTTGGGTTGAACCCAAAAGGGTTCAGAACCTGACACCCTACAGGCATAGCTGAACCAACAACCAAAACAGTCGCCTCCTGATTGGCTCCGAAAGTGATGTTTTAACTTCAAAAGGAACTATAGGGACCCCTGTTCTTGGGACTGTGCATGATAGCTTTTGGAATGTTCTCCGAGAAAAAGGAGGTGGGCGGAAATGGGAGCTGACTTTCCCGTTTTGGGCTTGCAGGATGATCACCAACGGGCTGTGTGGAGGAAAGGACTGGGCCAGTTTCTTCTTGGTTTGTTGGTGCCCCTTTCAACTATGGTCCAGCACATCAGGTGCCCGTTGGTCAACCTTTCGGGGCACCAAGTTACATAGCGATGCGAATTTTAGTCAGCTGCGAAAATCATGGGTCCAAGGTACTTCGATGTTTGGCTGATTTAGGAAGTGGCTTGTTTGGATGATTTAGGAAGTGGCTAGGCAAGCAGGTTATTGCCCACTTGGAGTTACAATGTGGTCACAACCTTGCCATGAATCTTGCTTCACTTCACTGGTTGCTGAATACCCAAGTCTAAATTGGTATATATATATAATTATATACACATTTATAGATGTAAAAACATGCACAAACCCCCAAGGCAATAACGCACGGACATATTCCCCTCCTGTCCACCAGCATGGAACCTGATGTTTCGGATTCCGAGGCGTGGCGGCGCCGCCCACCAAGGCGCTGCACGGCAACGCCCATGGCCTGGTGGTGGCCGGCGGACAGCAGAGGACCTGCGGGTGGGTGGCCCTGAGTGGACGTTTTGACCGGCTTTCATATGGCCATGGGTCAAAATCCATGGACCCCCAGTGAACATCCCAATCCAACCACTGAAATAGGTTCTAAAATGGGTGGTGCACCTATTCCAAAATGATACCTTGGTTTGAACCATGGCCATAGTTGATGGATCTATGAGCCAGATGACGCAACGAGATTTGCCCTTTTGGGAGTTGGACCCCAAAAAGGAGCTTTCGGGGACGTTTTGCAGGGCCAGAGGAAAAGCATTCAAGGGCGGTGCCAGTTTGGCTGAAGTTGATGTTTGGTGCTTGCCACAAATCGCTGAACTGGGTTCGGCGTTCCAGACTCACAGGTATGCTGTCATGCTCCTCCGCAAGCGGATTGAGGGAACCAAAAATGAGGTCCCGCATTTTGGGACGTGTCTCCGACAAAGGGAAACCGATCTTTTAGCCTCACCCGAAAAAGGAGGCTCATTTTAACCTGGCAGCCAAAAGGTGATTCAAAACCCTCACGCCTGTGGCCAACCGAGCCGCGGCATCCAGGGCCATGACCATGACCGCCACCATTCGAGGCAGCGGAAGGGGGTGATTCATGGAAGAACTGCAATCCGGACAGACCTAATTATCCCCTGAAAAATGCACTCCCCTCAAAAATAGTGGCACTAGAGCCAGAACTCGGTTTCGTTGAGCCCGGGTCGTGACTTTTCCTGGCCAATGACGAGTTTTTGAATCTCAACACATTAAAGGAACACTAGCAGAAAGAATTCAGGGGACCTACCCTTGGACTTTTTCCACACACCCTCATGAACCAAGCAAGGAGGTGGTTGCAAGAAAAAAGTCCCCCCACTACGTGATACTGGATGTGGAGTTGTCAAACAACGCCCCTCAAAAACGAGGGGAACGTCAACCAGAGAGGTGCCTGGGCTCTGAAAGTGAATGCCACAATTCACACAGGGAAAGGGCACAGAGGTTAGCTCCTTCGGATCCATTTCGGATGCACATTGTCCTGCCCAAAGCAGTCCAGTAGAAGGTTCGAAGCCGCGTCTCAAAATTGCCGGGATACATCTAAGAGATATCCAAGAGCCCCGAGTCAAGCAACACCTGCCGGGAGAAGCCAATGCGCAGTTCGGCAGACTTGCCAGTCTTTCTGCATCCAGCACGCAGGACGACTCACTCCCAGAAGGGCGGATTTGCCAATGCTGCACACGATCCAACAGTGCTAGCTGCTCCTTATTGCCACAGACAAGCCAAGAAAAGGGGTTTACGGACAGTATTATTTAGGCCCTATGAACGGCACGAGAAAGGCTGTGTTGATATTACTACCTAATAACACCGTATTAGACACCATGTGTATATAATAACAGTATATATATATATATACATGAACCACTGATGCACAATATCATTGTCGTCTGTTGTTGGGAAGGACGAGAAAAAGGGACAGCCCTCCTCAAGAACAAAAAAACACAAGCAGGAGGAGAACTGAATTTATCCATTTCCTTTTCGAGAAACACATAAGTTTGTCTGGGGCTCATATCATCCCCTCGGAAATAGGAATGTGGTTTCTTCCAGTAGAATATGATGGGGTTGTTGCGCTTGCACGCCAGTCGAGGGGAGAATCAAATGCTGATGGTGTACCGCATGTTTCCATTTTGGACGCCTCTGGGGGCTGGCTTCCCGTAGCGAAGCCATGATTTGGTAAACCAGATGTTCTCTCTGAATGGCTTGTCTACATTCAGCATTGCAGAAATTAATGAATGCCAATCAAAGGGTTTCCCTTAAATGATACACCCTTTGGGTGCTGTTTAAGGTGACCCCCCAAAACACGAGTGCATAGGGCTGGAACCCCCCCACCAGGCCACCCTCTCTGCTGGAGAAGGGGCCTGGTCCGAGGCAAAACGGCCCCCCCCGCCGAAGAACTGCGCAGGGGAGAAGGAAGCCGAGAAGCCAAAGGTGGAGCCTTGGGCAAGCTGCGGGGCTGTCGTTGGGTCCGAATTCTACCGAGCTCAGCCGTGAAGGTCCCATCTTCTTTTTTTTGCGCAGGGCTCCCGAGTAAAACAGATTTTCTTCCAGAGGGGTGAACAGGCAATTGCTTGGACCATGGGGGAGGGTTCTGTAGCCGAATCCTTGATTTCTGCTGGGTTTGGTGGGTGGTTTTTCGTAGAATGGAAACGGGCCTGCTTTGTCATCTTAGGCTTCCCGCCTTTTTTTAATTGTGAAGCCCGAATCAGCGCCACCCCGTGTGCTCTTCTCAGCGGCATGCCGTCCCCAACAGTTCATTTGGGAGCTCTTAATGGGAACCCGGATGAATAAACCCCTGCAGGCGGGACAAATCCCAGGGTCAGCGTCAGTAGTGGCAATCCATCCTGAAATCCCCCCCCCCCCCTCACCCCCGCGCATCCGCGCATGGAATCGAAGCTTTGGGGCCTCAGGAAGCGAAGCCGGAAGCTAAGCCAGCGCCGGAGAGCCGGGCTGCCTGGTGCCCGTGGAACATCCGGGCTGGAGTGGGACATGGCCCCTATGGGTCTCCTTTTCGGCTGTCTGAAGGGTTGAAAGGAAGTTGGTTCTTGCCCCAGCTTTTGGATGCTCCCGGGCTTCTAGAGGATGATCTTTTGAACCCCACTTTTTCGTGGGCTGGGTCGTTTCAGGGCCGTGCTAAAAAGGAAAAAACGCGCCTAGGCCAACCGGGCAACAACTACCTGCCCCATGAGCTCCAATCAGCTAAAGGTGGCAACCTGTGGCAAGGGACATGTGGCCTTCTTGCCCGTGGTTCTTGGTCCCCCAAACAACCGCACAACACAGGCCGAGCTGTTGCTTTTTGACAAGGGCGTGCATTTGGGGACCACGTTCGTTTGTCGGCTGCAAGGCACCACTCGAAGGTTTGAAGTGATATTTCCGATCGGCGATGTTCTAAGGGGACCTCTGAGACCTTTGAAGCGCCCCGACTCGCGATTCGCATCCTTTAGGCGGACGCCACAAGCATCTGCTGGCAACCATGAGCCTGAAGCCGCACTCCACCGCGCAAGGCGCTTATGTTTTTTTCTCTCGGCGTGCTCCGCGGGTTTGATCAGTCGGATCAAACATTGTCAGTTTCATGGGCATCCAAGAAGGCTTCCCCTGCAATGGTGCAATATGGGTGTTGGGAAATATGGGTGTGTCCAAAAATACGGGACAGCTTGTGCGGATGATGTTTGAGGTGAAACCATCAGGAAGCCACCTTGAGACTCATCTGCCAGGAACATGGACGGTCCAGGAACATGGGCAGGTTCAAGAGAATCCCCGCATTGGGCAGGTGTACTATCAGCAGTTTTTTTTTTTTTTTTTTTTTTTTTTTTAAGGAGAAGACAAGGTTCCTCTCCTAATTTTCAAGTTGATCTTGATCGATTCAAGCAAGGACACCTTTTTCAGATTGATCTTGATACAGATTTAAAGAACGACACGCTGTTCAACCTTGATCTTGATAGATTCAAACGAGGTCGCGCTTCCGAAGCTTGATCGACTTGTGGGAAGGGAACCGCGCCGTTTTTTTCAGCGGCTCCTCCTTCCCCCCCACCGGCCAGGATCGCACCGCCTGCAAACGCGCAGGAAAGATGGCCCCTCGGCACGAATTTTGCCCGCGGGATGGGGCGGGATGGGTTTGTTTTGGCCGCTTAAAGGTAAGCGTTGTGTGGGAAACACACCAACCAAGCAGGAACGATGCAAGAAATAGGCTGGCACCATGGTGGTTGGGGGTTCAAGGGTAAGACCAAAGCAACAAACACAAAGAGGACAGAAGGCAAACAAGCTGTTGATGGCCCTGGCTGCCAGGGTCTGGCTCATGTCGGGGGTTGGCCCCGCCGCAAGGCCACTATCAAGGGTCAAACCAATATCCCCCCAGGCTTGGGTCGCATGACATTGGATGGTCAACCTGCACTTCAAAGGATCCTTTGCATTTTGGATTGCCAATGCCACGATTTGGGTCCTCCGTCGGACTTACCATGACGGAGACCGTCTCTGGGTGATTCTCTGTAGAGTTGGGCAATGTTTTTTCCCTGGAGAACAGGTTCCGGCGGTGAATCCTGAGGCAACAAGACGCCGGAGGTGGAGCAGTTCCTGATGGACTCTCTGTGGCTTGGCAAGCCCACGGGTGCGTCCAAGTGGAGAAGGGGGGAGAGGAGGTGTAGGGGCCTGACATGTGTAGCGTCACGCGGCTGACAAGGGAACCTGCAGAGATTTCGTCGGGTTTTGTAGGGTCCCTTGTAGGGTCCCTTAACAAGTCTTGCGAAGCCTTGAAGCCTAGGTTGTCCCCTCACAAAACCGGCCAAGAGCAGGCTGTTCTGTCTGCCTTGGATTGGATGCGAATTATAGGCTGTCCGATAAGCGGCGTATCTGTTGCTGGTCGACTGTTCTCCGAAGAATGAGCGTCGACAAACCACTAGCCAAGCCTGCATGTGTGTTTTGACCTGATGTTTACAGTATATTCAACACATGAGACACTAGAAAACCTCATACCACCTCAGTGCCTGCGGGCGGACTTTCGCCGCGGAATTCCAACGTGCATGAATGAACGAGGCGGGGTCACTTGCAATGGGCACAACGCGCCAAAACCCAGTTGGAGCGCGAGGATGCAAAATGGGTCTCACACCAACAGCACCGCCGAAAACCTGCAGATATGCCTTGTTTCCGCAGACATCGACAGTCTTATATACCTTCCAGAGCGGCTGATTGACCGCCTGACTGGGCGAAACCACTTCCATGCTATTGGCGCTGCATTTTCAATGCGGCCAGTGCATATTGCCCATTGCAACTGAGCTTCACGCAGATGATGGATGCGGACTTCCACAGCGTAAGGGCGCGCGCAGTCACTGAGGTGGTATGAGGTCTCCTAGTGTCTCATGTCTCACAATACAGTACATTACAGGTCAAATCAGACATGGGGACTTGGCTAGTAGACACCTCTCCCCCCCCACCCCCAAACAAAGTGGTTGCGGTTCCTGCAATGAGCATGATCATGTTGCCCCACTTCCCCCCCCACCCCCGTTCCACAAACAGCTCGAGCTGTGCTTGGTGGCAACATACGACCTGATGAACCCTGGGGCTTGATCCTCTTTTGAGCACTCTTCTTTTTTGATCATCCCGTGGGAAGTGTTGGATGGAACCATAACAGGAGTGCTTTGTGCTGAGCTGCAGTCCGACTGCAGTCCCAGTGGAGGGGACCTCCTTTTTGGATGATTTTTTTTGGGATCCAATTTTCATCACATGGGTGCCCTTTTTGAGGGCATGCAACCATTGGATACAAGCACACATGCAATGTAATATATATATATATATGCATACGCAACCCTGCTTTCATGAAGGCTTGCAACCATTGGTGTCCCGGCCTTTACAAAGTGTTCCCGTGGTTGGCTTCACCTTAAGCCCACTTTTTTTTACCATGAGTTCATTTTGGGGTGATGTGTAAGGGGGAAAGATTGTAGGCAGTGATTTGGAATGGGCCCTAACCATTCAAATGTTGGTTGCCTTTTAAGGAAACCCGAGCGGTTCATTCGCATGGCGACTCCCTAAGAAGCTGCAAGGGGGGACATTTCGTTGGAGCCCTGAACAAATCACCACCTAGGACCGGCAGGTGGTTTTTGGGCGGGTTTGTGGATGCTTCAATGCGGAGGGGGCGGTGCATTGATTTCGAAGGGTTTGCACAAACCCCATTGCTTTCCAGACAAATACACTAAAACAATTTTCAGAACAAAGCCTTGGAGCTCAGTACTGGTCAGTTTTTGAGGGGATTCTTCCATTTATTTGCTCAATAATTAAACAAGGGAATCTATCACTGGACATATTTTCCCATGTTTTCTGGTGGGCGAAAGCAAATGGACGGATTCGCATTGGTTCCTTTGATTTTCCAAACTAGTGAAGTTTTCCTATTGTTTTTGTGTTGACAAGAAACCAAGAAAGGGGTACCGACTCAAAGAAGCAACCATTTTCCTTGTGGTTTGCAAAAAGCCACGCCTCTTCCAGGGGTCATTATTTTGACGGTTTCTGGGGCATATGAGGTTATCAAAGTCAGAAAGGGGTTTGTTTCCCCTCCTCCCACCACTTAGGGGGTGACTTGGACCATGGTAAAAGAATGAGGCAGCTCTTCGCGTTTTATTTTCTTCTTCTTCTCCCGCCGAGTCGCGGGGTCGCCGTCGCCGTGGCGATTTTTTTTCTATTCGAGGCGCCGGGATCCGGGCAGCAGCCAGGCGCAGCTCAGCGAGGCGGACCTGGCGGCGCCGCTTGGGCTGAAAAGAGGCACCTCGAGTCGCGTGCGTTGTGTCCGTTTTCTTTTTTTGTGTTTGTGAGGGGAACAATGTGAATGGTTTGTGGGTTTGAGGTGATTCTTGTTTCTTTGGAGGGTTTAGCAGGGGAAGTCCCGTTTTTTTTGAGGAACACCAAACCCATTTCTTGCGGGTTTAAAAGGGACACCACTGAACCAGGGGAGTGTTTTGGAGGGAGCAACCGCCATGTTTCGCGGGTTTAAAAGGGAACCCAAGAAGGAAGAGTCGCTTTTGGCGTTTTTGAGGGTTCAGGTGATTCAGGGTTGGAGTTTTGGAAGGGCTGCCGACGTGCTCTTTTTGGACCAACAAAACGTGGGTTTGAGCCAGCCTCCTTGCGGTGATGTTGAAGGACTTTGAAGTGGCTCTTGATGTGTTTAGTTCGGCGTACCACAAAACCCGTTCAAGAACTAGACATTTGGTGGTGAAGTACGGGCTAAAACGAGCAGCGTGATGAGGGTCCTTTTCCTGGCGGATTCCTTGTGTCCGGTTTGCAAATTATAGTTGGCCGAAATTGCCCAAAGCTGTCTCAAACAAAGGGGTTGCTCCGTGCTCACTCTTGACGCAGTTTTGGGAGAGTTACCAAGCGGACTCGCATTGGAGAACGTCCTTTGCTTGCCATTTCGGCTCACAATGGACATGACGATGTTTTTCTGGTGAGCAAAGCGAAATGACTTTTTTGCAGGTGAGCTTACAACCAGCTTACAACAGGCTTGACTCCGTTCGCAAGACTTCGGTGTGGGTAACCATTTGGATAGATCCAGGCACTTCCCCTCCCACCACTATTTCGGAACCTATCCGGGGGGTGTTGGGCAAAGCGAGCGCTTCGAGGCTCCCATTATTCTTAGAGGTTCGATTCCTGTCGTCGGTGCAGGTTTTCATGTTGAAAAAGAGGTACCCCATCAGTGGCCCCCTGAGCAAGGATGACACGCACAAATCGGTGGCATGGAAGCCGCTTTTGGATCGAGGCACACGGAAAAGCGTGCTATGGGCAGCTGCCTGATTCACAGGTTATGAGCCCATGGTCGTGACCACGGCGCCGACGCAATGGCGACTGGAGGTGGAAGACAGAGAAGAACAAGGACCTTGGAGGCGAACGAAGCCGCAGGCAAAGGGTCTGGCAGCAATGGCAGACCTACCCTGGAGGCGGAAGAAGATCGAGGACCTACGATGGTGGCAAGACCGGACGGCTCGGTGGAGGCGGAGACGGCGGCACTATGGCCGGATGGTCCTCAAGGAGAACCAGAGGAACTTGGACCTGGGCGGAATGCGCTGTTCACGCCTCAGCAGATGAGGAGGTTGGACGAGTGGACTGATGAGGCACCGCTGATCAATGCGAGTCCTGGAGATGGTGACCGAGGAGGATTTCCGGACTACATTGAGAGGTCCAACGAGGGCATGGTGGAGGCCAGAGAGATGGCGATGGCATCACAGCAATTGGCTCTACCGGGACCTGGAGGACTGGCGGAAGGTCCACGGCCAGATCAATGGTCAGCTCTACAACGTGGATATGCTGGAGGCCCACGGCTTCCCCAATGGCAAGATCAGCGTATGGGGCAGCAAATGGTTCTTCAAGGACATGGAGGACCTGGTGGTGGTCAAGGAATTGCTCTATGGCCAGATCCCATGCAGGAGATGCGCTACTACATGATGCAGCTGGTAGCTGATAACCAGCAGCTGAAGAAGGTAGTTGGGAGCTGCGTAAGCCAGGTCAATGATCTGCAGCGGAGGTGGCAACAGCCGGAAGCATGGAACCCCTGAGGGTCAAGCTGAACCTGGTGAACAGGAGGAGGAATCGTCGGAGCTCCGGGCGGATCAGCCGGGAGCAGGATCTGGACAATCGCTGGACGTTATGTTGAAGATTGTCCAAGGGATGCAGGCCATGCAGCAGCAGATGCTGAACCAGCAGAAGAAACCTGAGGGGGGCGACGACCACAGCGAGATGGTGAAGAACACTGCCATGGAGCTGCCGAAGTTGGTGGAGTACCGACCAGAGAGCGCCCCGATCGACTTGGGTGATTGGATCTGCGTCCTGGAACCGATCATGGCGGACTTGAGTGAGTCCTCACACCAGTGGTGGCATAAGGTGGTGGAATCAGCGAGGGCATGGTACTCCAAGTATCAAGCAACACCGCCACTGGAACGACTGCGACTCCAGCCGAAGGACCCCGCTGAGCTTCAGGAGGCGAGGTGGAGGAGGTTGGAACGGCGAGCAGTGGGATTACTTCTTCGAGCTCTCCCCGATGGAGCTCGGGAAGAGATGGTGGCAACGAAATCGATGAGTTGCTACGCAATCTTGTGCAAGCTCATGGCGAGCTATCAGCCTGGAGGCTTGGTGGAGAAGTCGGTGATCTTGCAGACTTGGAGAACCCCCCGCAGGTTGACACCCTGGCAGCGTTGGTGGTTAGCTTGCGGAAGTGGACGCGGTGGAAGCAGCGAGCCCAAGAACTTGGGGTGACAATTCCAGACCCAACGGTGCTTGCTCGATCGTTGAACAAGATGGTCAAGAAGGTGGTGGAGATGCAGCCGGAGCTTTCGTTCAAGATGGCCTTGGCGAGGAATTCGCTGCAGCTGGACTCCATCCCCTCACATGAGGCGGTGGACCGATATGCGGAACACGTGCTGTCGGAGGTGGAAGCGATCGCTCATCTGGAGAAGGATATCAAGGCACCGGTGACGAAGGGCCAGCAGGTGGACACCCGCGTCAAGAAGGTGGACACGGCAGACGTCAAGCCGGACACGAAGAAGGCGGGAGAGAGTGCGAAGCCTTGCAGGTTCTTCCTTTCGGAAAAGGGTTGCAGGCTTGGTCGTGGATGCCGATGGAGCCATGACCAGAAGGATGAGAAGATGAGGTGTTGGTCGTGTGGGGCGAGCGAGCACATGCGGAAGGACTGCCCGGTGGCCAACGTAGCCAAACCCAACCCGGATCGGAAGCCCAAGGCGGCGAAGGTCGCGGTGGAAGAGGAGCTGAAGCAAGAGGTCATGGCTGAGGGGAACAGGGAAGCGACCCCGAGGGCGGCGACCACTACAGCAGCTACGAAGGAGGACTCCCCAGGAATGGCGAGCTCGGCATCAAGCGAGAAGGAGGATGGGACCATGAAGGATGCACCGGTGGAAGACGAGAAGAAGCTGAGCGACTTGCAGAAGCAGTTGGACGGCATAAGAGAAAGGATGAGAATTCGACAGGTCAGACTATCGAAGGTCGAAGTGGGCGGGATGCGAGGGCTGGTGGACTCAGGAGCAACGAATCCGCTACGGGCCGTGGAGAAGGATGAGGACGTTTCGGGCTATGAGGAACGGACGGTGGAGTTGGCTGCTGGGGAAACCTACAGTCTGAAGGTGACCCCGGGTGGCACGCTCATTGCAGAGGACCGGAAGACCCAGCCGATAATCCCGATGGGAATGCTTACGAAGGACCTGAACTGCAAGGTCAAGTGGAGCGGCAAGGACTGCTCTATCCTACATCCTGGACGAGGGCAACTACCGGTGGTGATGTGTCAAGGGTGCCCAGAAGTACCCAGGGAGCTGGCACTTAGCCTGATTCAGGAGTTGGAGGGGGTGAACCGCTTCAAAGTTAAGTCACTCTCGAGACGGGAGGAAGTGGACTTCGTGACGAAGGTTGTGGAATTGCATCCGGTTTTCGACGAAGTACCGGAGGAGATCAAGCAAAGGCTGATGGTTGAGCCGGCGGAGGATTGGAAACCGCTGGGACTGAATCGAAGCCGCAGGAGAAGGCTTGAGAAAAAGGGAGGAGCGGTGGTCCACCTGTTCGCGGGTCCGGAGGAGGGGTTCGACCTTTCGAGGGCATACAAGGAGCAGGGTGGAGATCTGCGGGACATCCTGGAGTACGACATCCTTCGAGACGAGACCCATGACCTCATGGACAATGGGCTCATGAGCGGGCTGGTACGGTTGGCTCTGGATGACCGAGTCAAGGCCGTGGTGGGGGGACCGAACTGCAGGACGAGATCGGTGCTGCGATTCTACCCGCTGCTCAACAGGACTAGGCCACGTCCGGTGAGGACAATGGAGCATCGATGGGGCCTGCCGGAGATGGATGAGGGAGAGAAGGCGATTGAGAAGATGATGTGTTGATGTTCCGCTTCATCCTGATTTACCTGTTGGCGGACATCACGGCAAAGGCGAGAGAAAACGAAGGTGGTGGGGTGGAATTCTTCATGGAGCAGCCGGCGGAACCCAAGGGTGAGCCGAGATGTGCGACCCCGGAGTGGCGACGGTGGGCACAACGAGGCATCTGCAGACTGCATCAGGGAGAAGCTCAACGTCATGATCGGGAGGTGGAAAAGCCAAGGTGGGAGATGACGGATGAGGAGAAGCTCAGCTCGTCAAAGGCGTTGGCACGGTGGGCTCCTGGGATGATGAGAGAGCTAGGTGAAGGTAAAGGCTCTTTCGTGGGAGGAGCACGTGAAGATGGGCCACCTGCCCTTTCGACGGGACTGCCGAGTCTGTCAGGAAGCCGGATCTCACCGGGCCGTTCATCATGGGCACCGATGTGGATGGGGTCCAGGACGAAAGGTATCTGTTGGTGGCCGCGTATACATGGCCGCAAATAGACACCTCAGATGGAGAAGAGCTTCCTGGTGAAGAACCTGGAGGAGAAGAAGGAAGTGGTGGACCATAAGAAGATCTACTACCGGAGGAGGATCCTGGAGAGGAGACAGCAGAGGAAGGCTTTGAGGTTGACGGGGCAGCGGAGGAACGGGAGCAGCCAATTCTTCCGGAGCCACAGGAGGAGCCTCACCCGCTGAAGACGCTGTACATGACGGTCCCGCTCAAATCCAAGGATCGGAAGGAGGTCTTGGCGGCGATCCAGGAGATCTACATCAGATTGAGAAGGGAAGGCTTCCTGGTGCTGAGGTTGCACTCGGACAAGGGGGGTGAATTTATGAGCAAGGAGCTAGCGGCTTGGTGTCGACTGAGAGACATCAGGAAGTCCACCAGGACTCCGGATCAAATGCAGGAAAATGGTCGGGCTGAAGCAGCGGTGGGAGTGGTGAAGTCGATGATGAGGCGAGTGATCATCGCGACGAAGTGGGACCCGGTTTGGTGGCCGTGCATTGCCAGGTACGTTTCGGAGGTGCGCTTTAGCTATGATCTGAAGGGCCACAAGCCGAAGTATCAGTTCGGCGAAGACGTGGTGGTCCCCAAGAGGGCTTGGAAGCAGAAATCCTTCGAGGCGAAGAATGAGAGGGGCAAGTACTTGGCACCGCTCTACGACATCACGCGTGGGCATGCAGTGCTGCTGAATGCTGACCAGAAGGTGGTTGCCGTTTCGAAGGTGCTTTCCGGATTGCGAGAAGGGGAGGTTCCGGGTGCACCGGGGGCAGCTGCTAATGAAGAGGAAGAGAACCGAGAAGGAGATGCTCTCTTTGATGAGGCTCTTCGTGTGAGAAGGAGAATGAGGATGAAGACGAGTGACCCAGCTCGGATGGACGATGGTGGTGGTGACAAGGTCGCGGAGAGGATTCGGCTGCTTCGCCACATCATCGTGGAAGAAGAAGAGAGGATGTTGGAAGATGAGGAAGGGACCGCCGAGATGACCTTCCGGATGGTGCGGAAACTGCGAGATGAGGAGGAGAGCCTGAAGCAGATGGTTCCGGATCAGACGGAGGCGGAGAAGATCTTGCACACGAAGATGGTGTCTCCGAATGAGGTAATCTCCGACAAGGAAGGGGCGGCCTCGATTAAGACCGAGCTGGACTCGCTGATGACAGAGAAGCAGGCGCTACGGAGAGTGCCGCCCAGGGAAGCCGAGAAGATGATCCGAGAGAAGGGCAGCAAGCTGTCTGTGGTGCCGGCCAAGGCGATCTTCAGTGTGAAGGCCGGGAGTTCTAGACGGAAGACCAGATTGGTGGTCTGTGGCACGGGACACGGAGGCGGAGGGTGACACCTTTGCGGGTGGGACAGACATCACGGCGATCCGCCTGCAGGTCAAGGTTGCTATGGAAAAGAAGTGCAGCATGAGCCGCATGTGCAGCATGACGTCCAAGAATCCCAAATGGACGATCAAGGCTGCGGGCTATGTTCTGGGCTACCTGAAGGAAACGAAATGGGTGTCTGGAGACACTGGACGACATTGGTCGGGTCATGGTGCCGCCCGCAGATGCTTCGTTTGCGCCGTTGGGAGAAAGGAGCCAAGGATGTTCCTTGGTAGCATGGAACGGCACGGTCATTGCGTGGAAGGCAGGAAAGCAGGCTTTTCCAGCACTGTCGACAGCGGAGAGCGAGCTGATCGAGGCGATCGACAGCGTGATCCTTGGGGACAGCGTGGAGGCGTTGATCACAGACACCCTGGGTATGGACAATTTCAAGAAGATGTTGCTGTCGGATGATGCGGCAGCGGTGGCGATTGCCACGGATGTCACGGGCTCGTGGCGAACACGACACCTTCGGTTGAGGTCATTCCATCTGCGGTGGAGGATCAGGGCCGGAGATTGGGAACTTCGACACTGCCCAGGACAGCAAATGCTGGCAGACCTTGGCACAAAGCCATTGGGTCCGATGAGGATCAAAGAGCTCTGCGACCTGTGGAACCTCAAGGCCATGGGAGAAGAGAGCAAGGTGACCAAGGTGAGCAAGGCGGTGGTTCAGACGGAAAAGGAGAGGTGGATCCAGTTGCTGGTGATCTTGATCGTGATCACTGGTTGCAGAGCACAGGGCAATAATCCACGGCCGGAGGAGGACGGTGTGGACATCTCCGTGGTGGTGTTACTGATAGCTGTGGTTGCGGTGGTGATTTACCGCTTGGCTACCGAGGCTGTGTCGGGGCTCCGCCAGGGGATCAGGAGGTTGAGAGTGAGCAGTGTGGAAAGGAGCACTCAAACGGAAGAAGAAGAAGAAGTCATTGAGGTGCCGAGATCGCAGAGCGCTTCGGTGGCACGGTCCTCCAGCTCTACCAGCGGGACTGCCTCAAGGTCAAGTACAATGAGGAGGCGGAACGGTGGGAGCGCGGGTCAAGCTGAGGGGCAACCCGCAGACGAGCGAGCTCCCACAAGGTCGGTTGAGCAGGAGACAGAAGATGAGAGATTGAATGCCAGGTGGCGGGAGGAGCTTCGGGTCATGGAACAGCTCCGGTGGCGGGAGCTGCGGCCGGAACCGGAAGCAGTTGAGGTTTACCACATCACCTCGATGGGTGACCGGATTCACTGGCGACGCAACTGCTATGGGCTCCGGAACGCCACTGTCCGGGGAATGCGGGCGGTGCTGCCGTGTCCTCACTGTTGGCCGGGAGAACGACAGCGAGCGCGGGGCGCAAGATCGTATCGTGGGGAAGACGGCTTTCTGCATGGCAATGCTCGATGTGTGGGCATTGGAAGAGAGCCGCTGAACCCTATGCAGCCTTGCAGGTTTTGCCAAGGTGGCGTGACCGACGAGAACTTTGAAAGAATGCAAGATGAGGGCAGATGGCCCCGAGGACTGATGTGATGCGGCTTGAGCTGGACATCCTCTATGGCAAGAACGGAGGATGTGAGTGCTAGGAACGTTTTGTCATTTGTGCCCTCTCTGAACACAAAGGGGAGGAGTGCAGGTTTTCATGTTGAAAAAGGGGTACCCCATCAGTGGCCCCCTGAGCAAGGATGACACGCACAAATCGGTGGCATGGAAGCCGCTTTTGGATCGAGGCACACGGAAAAGTGTGCTATGGGCAGCTGCCTGATTCACACGGAACCCCCAATTTAAACTCTCTTTGGGGTGCCTTTTCGTGGCTTGGGACGTGCTAAATATCGCCGATCCGGCACACTGACTGGAGGGATCCCACGCATGGTTTGTGTTTTCTTTTTGTTTTTTCGGGGCCTTCCGATTGGCCGGCCGTTTTGGATAGCTGTTTTTGCCGAGGATCGTGTCGGTGATGGAGTTCTATGAGTTCGCCGCCTGGCAGTTGGGGCTCTGCCAAACAGAATCAAACTCGTGGCTCTCGGCTTAGGGGGGATGTCTCAAACGGCTGGCTTCCTTTTGGCTCGGTGAAACCCTCCGACAGGGGGCCTCTTCGCACAGCCAAGACAAAACGAGCAGAACAGTACATGACCAGCCGTAAACCGAGGCCGCTGAGATTTGCGCTTCCTTACCGCGAGCTTTGGATATATTCCTTGGATACTGACTTTCAATCAGCCGGGCCATTCCTATTCTGGATCAAATGTTGCTCGGGGGTGGTGCACCGTTCCACGGAGCCCGGTGCATATTCTCAGGCCTTAGCTCAGTGGGTGTGTGCACCCTCTTTCTGAAAAAATACGGGGCACTTCCAAGTGGCGGGACTGACATCTCCCTAGCACATCCGTAGCAGAGATCCTTGATCTCATGTTCACTTGTTCCCTTTCCACTTGTCTTCAGGCAGGGCCTTGGAGCCTGGGCCGACTTGGAATCCAAGAAGTCGCCTTGGATCAGCGGCCCGCCGAATTGAAGCCAAAGGAAGCTGAGTAAACAAAGGACCTGACCGGAGGGTCGATTCCGGCGCATGGCCCTGCTCCGCGTGCTCAGGAGCCCGACGCCTCCGATGATGAAGGTGCATTCCTGTGGTCGCCATGCTGATTTCCAGAACACAAGTCTTTGGGTTGGGGCATTCAAGAACTGCTGGTCATGCTGGTCGTTTGTGGCAAGGACCGGGTCTTGGGGAGGGGCAACACGTGAGGCCTATTGAATCATGTAGTAAGCCCAGAAGGGGGACCTGTTGTATGACGTGCTGAATCACTGAACGAGATGTTTCAGGGGTTTTCAGTCGCCACCCAGATAGATATCCCCTCCCTTCAAAGCCTTTGGGCTTGCTCTCTGGGAAGAAACGGGTCCCAGCAGCATTGCCAAGCAGCGCAGGATTCCCGGTTCATTCATTGCCTGGGTTCCCATGTGGCTGAATAAAGACTGCAGGAACCTTGAAGCACAGGGGCTCCCCTGCGTCGCTTTTTCCTCCTGCTCGCCACTCGCTTGAGTTCGGTGTTCGCCAGACAGCGGCGGAATGGGCGTGGGGGGCGCCTCCGGGTACATCTTCGTGGTGGACAGCGGCAGCTTCGAGGTGCGCATCGACGGGACCCCCATCGCCACGCTGGCCCGGGCCCCAGTTCCCAGGGTCTCGAGGGTCGCGAGGGTCGCGAGGGTCAGCGGGAAAGACCTGTCGGGTTTTTGAGTGATTTCCCGTTTGGGGTGATGTTTCATTTTTTTGTTTTTGGGGGGTTCGTCTTTTGAGGGGAAATTACGAGGAATCCTGCTTGAAAAGCACTGCATTTTGGAGAGGGCGTGGGGGTTTCGGAGCTTTGGAGCTTTGGCCCACAGGCGGGCAAAGTTTTGCTCTCCTTCCTGAACATGGTGCTAGCAGAGGTTGCGAAAGCCACGGCGGGTTTCGGGCGAAAGTCTGAGTTGGTAAGTGGAGTGACTGGCAGCTGGCGGAATTGGGGAGGACCCGAAGAACAGAATATCTCCAGCTCAAAGAAGTAGGCCCAGTTGTGATTCATGCTTTCAGGTGGCAGTTGGGGATGCCCGTCCAGTCGGGCAATACTCAGAGGGTGCATTCACTCTTATGGTTCATATGATACATGGGCCCAGGAATTTGGGACGCCTCGTTGCAGCCAACGTTGATGTGCTCCAACTTGGGGGGTGGTTTGGGGGCAGTGGGGTCCCCATCTTTTGTACCCTGACCCTCTTTCGTTCTAAGGCAAGGTAGGGATGCGCTCTTTTGCTTTCCAGTGCTTGGTTCTAGTTGTATACCAGTATACCAGCCATTTTCTTATGAGCCATTCTCCGAGGGCCGGGGGTGCACCTTCGGCTGGAACTTCCTCATGAAGCAGCCGCAGTTTGGGGCCCCAGTGGATTGCCGGCCGGTTTCGGCTTCAGGACACATCCCAAGAGCCGCCGGCTTAAGGGGATCTGCCGAAAAATCAGCTGGTACAGGTGGATTTTTGACTGGCCCAAATTTGTATCCTTTAAAATGACCCCCGAAGAAGCAACTCGTCAGGACATCCCAAGCACCCGAAAAGTCTCGCTGGAATCCTTTCAGGAGTCCGAACTGCAAACACCAACATGGGCCCGACCTTGCAAGAGGGGGTCCCTATATTTCCCTGGATGTTAGACTTGAAGAGTTGGTGCAATGGCCACTCTCCCCATGTGGAGAACAAGTAGCACACAACGATGCGTCAAGACAACAACATCCATCCCACGAGGCAGATTTCGGCCTCGTCAGCCTGCCTTACCCCAGCCCACAGCAGGTCACACGGTCATAGGACGTCAAGTGTCCTGCCTTGGGTTCACCAGTGCAAGGAGAGCGCGTTCTGAGCACTGCAATGTGAACCAAGATCATGTCGGACTTGTTTGTCAGTGCTTTTGGGCAGGTTTATCCTATTCGTTATTCGTTTGATTTGCAGACTCCCCAACAGGGTCAACACTTGGTTGCTTCTTGGTGCAAGCTTTACCCTTCCTGCACAGAAAATTTCCTTTTGGAAAGGCGGCCTGTGCACTTCCATGTTTGTTGGTGGGAAGGCAAGCTTTTATTCTTTTAGAACAGCCCCCCCATCTTGGCCAGCGCTTCGCTCTGCGAGCGTTGTGCACTAAAGCAAACGCGGGACTTTTTTCGGGACACCCTTTACCTCCCTTTTTGGGGGATTTCAAGCATTGCCTTGCAGGTCCATTCAAAGTGAGTTTCCTATAGGTTAGTGGTAGTTCATTTTTTTTGGGTTGGGCATAATTTTAGGGCTTCAATGCTTAGATTGGTACTCAAGCAAACTCAAGTCATGAGACAACATGTGCCATGTTTTGCCCTTTTTCGCTCCACAGGACCCCAAAGCTCGGCCCTCGCAAATCCGGATCTCCCGACGCGCCGAGGGCTTCCTCGGTCTTCGCGTGCACCAAGTCGGGCCTGTGGGGCGCAGATGGGCAGAAGGTCCAGACGATGCTCCACGAGCGCCAGCGGGACCGGGGGTTTGGGGTAGGGGGCGGTCCCTGAAATTTTGGGGGGCGGGGGTTTGGGGGAGGTTGGAGTTTTTTGTTTGTTCTCCAGTTGGAACTCTTTAGTTGGGTGGTGAGTAGAAGCAAAGCGCGGACGGGAAAGAACCGAAGGCCGTTTCGGAGGGTCATTCAATTTTAGACACATCTATGTCGTTTTCCTCAACAGCCTTGACTGGCTCCGGCTCCAGAGGATTGCGGGGAATGAAGCTTGGCTTGCGTTGGGGACGCCACTTTGGCTCCATGTTTTTTTGACAAGGGGGGGGCTGGTTGAGTGACAATGGGTTGCTTGAGATTTGTCACCGCTTTTTGGATGGCGTTGGCCGACTTGTAAGAAACACCCGTTTCGTTCGAGAACAGCAGGTTCGGTGGGGAGTGGGAGTGGCTCAGAATTTGGAGAATGTTCGAGTGGAGCTCGCTTTGAGTCCAGGCACAAGGCGGGGGTTGGGCAAGCAGACCCACGAGAAGAGCCGAATTCCGGGGATCGCTCACAGCCGAACTGACCCATGAGGCTTTCAGTTCCAATCTCCTGCATTCTGGAACACTCCAGCGGATGCGTTGTATTGTAAGCAATAACGGCCTTTTTTATGCCTTACCCTGCACTGTTTTTGAACCCGATGCGGGGTGCGTGGGTGGGGGGGGGGTCAACTTTTCTCCCAAAAGGACTTTCCGAGGGCCAGAGGGGTGGGTTGTCTCTGCCGTCTCGCATTGGAATCACGCAGGATCGGCTCCAGCAGAATCGGAAGCTCCTGGCATCTTGGCTTTGATCGTTTGGCTGCACGGCAGGGTCGGATGGCTGTGCGCAGGGGTCAGCCGCTCAGCCCCATATGTCCCGCCCGAGCACTGCCACACTTGAGAAAATGGGAACATACTTGAGATGGCAGTGAAGCTGGAATGTTTCATCCTCGATGTGGGATTTTTGTGCATTGCTTTACTCGGGTACTCCCGCACCGTTGTTATCGCCCCTCAATGGACAGCGAAGCACACAATGCTCAAGATAGCTGGCGCTTGTGCAGCTTCTCTGGGTGCAGAGGTGCGGTGGGTTGATGTCCCTCATTGCAAGCCAACCAGCCACAAACAAGAGGGACATGTCTGTTTCCCTGTTGTCAACTTATAAGCCGGTCACAAACCAGGAAGCTTTGAATTGGGAACCCCCTTCTCCCAGCTTTGACCGAAGTTCCGCCGCGCGTGCGAAGACGAGGACTGTGTGTCCATGTTCAAGGGCCTGCCGCCAAGACAGATCGAGCTGCTCAGCTCCGCCATCGTCTCGGAGACGGCGGGGTTCGTTAGCGAACGGAGCCAAGAGCGAATCGATGGGGGGGCGGGGGTAGTCCCGGAAGCTCCTCGGAGAGTATGTCACATTTCAACGTGAATCAAAGTCAGAATGCACAAATACATATACATATACATGTATATAATATATATGGCTTCCGCCAGGGCGTTCAGGGGCATTTCTCTTGATCCCCTTGCGCAAGGACTCCCCTTTGTAGTGATTTCCGAATCGGGCTAGAACATCGGATCCAGCCATGCGTTTTGAGCAGCTCATGGAGAGCGGACTGAAGTGCAGGAAGTTCTTGGCTGAAGAATCTGCTTCCAAATTGATCTTGGGCGTTCAGGTTCTAGCTGGGAGGCTTCCTTTGCCGCACTCACTCCCATCCAAAACCCAAAACCAAGGGGACTCGCTCATTTTTCCAGGACTCACGCATGGCCCGAAAAAAATCCAGGTGAAGCACCAAGTCTCCCATAAACTTCACAGCGACTCGCCAATTTTCCCAGAAGAAAAAACAAAGGAAGGAAAAAACAGGAGGACGCAACTTACAGACAGCCAGTCAAACAAAAGACTTCCTTAACAAACAGGTGACACCGCCGCGAGTCGCCTGCCACGAATCAAGCCTCTCGTTTTCACAATTCACTGCGCTGGGCCAACGAAGTCAGCACATGTTAGCAAAAAACCAGTCAAATGGAACTCTAGTTCGTTCGTTTAGATAGGTTTGCGTCACGGCAGCTAAAAAGGTCCGCAATCTAAAGGTTCAAGTCGGGGTTGTGACAACATTATGTTCAGTTTCGAGAGTGGGTTGTGACGACATCCTGTGCAGTTTCAAGTGTGGCGAGTGTATTATCATTTGTGATAGAGTGAGTGCAGCGGTCGTGGATGCGAGTGGGTGAGTGTATTATCATTTGTGCCAGCATGCGTGCAGCAGTCTTGGATGCGTGGGGCGTGTGAGTTATCATTTGTGCCAGCATGCGTGCAGCGGTCGTGGATGCGTGAGGGCAGGGCGTGTGAGTTCTCATTTGCGCCAGCATGCGTGCAGTGGTCGTGGATGCGCGTGGGCGTGTGTATTATCATTTGTGCTAGCATGCGTGCCGCGCTTATGGATGCGCGTGGGCGTGTGAGTTATCATTTGTGCCAGCATGCCTGCAGCGGTCGTGGATGAGCGAGGGCGTGTGCATCATGACTTGTGCAGCTTGGCCTCATGCGTAAAGACTCCGAGTACCCGAACAAATGTGAAGCAGACATGAGAAACGCACGCAACAACCAGGTTCCTGGCGGCGGTCCCAGCAACAAACAACAAGTTGAGAAACAATCTACCGGACATTCCCTAGCAATTCTAGCAAGTGCCTACTACATCCGAAGGGTTTTTGCTCATTGTGTAGACTGGTCCTGTAGCTGGTATGATAAACGGCGCTTGCCACATCTATCGGGGGGTGGCGGGGGTTGGTGTGCACATCTCTTTCATACCATTTTGGAGCCCCCGTTGAAGTGAACAAGTAGTCGGTTGATAGGCAAAAACGGTTGGTATTTGCGCCTTTTGTTGTAGAGTGAGAAGATAGTCACAGAGATGGCCCACTATGGCATCACGTCTTTTTGCCAACCGCAGCCATACCCCTGGCCATCAATCGGCCACCCTGGACAGGTGCCGGCAGGGATGAAGGCGCTACGACGGGTTTGCGGGAGTGAGTGATGCGAAGGGCAGATTCCTCCAGTGACTCGTGGGGATTAAACGGTGGGTAAATGAAAGTGCGACCTCAGGGATCCCATTTGCGTCCAAGCTTGGTTTTGGGCTCCGTTTCTTATAAGATTGAGCATTGGAATTGACTCATTCCCGGTCAAGGTTGTCCTTATGTCCCTTCAAGACTACCTGAAGTTGGAACAATGCATGGAGAGGCCCCCGAAAAAGACCAATCCGGATTTCTCTTGGAGGTATGGAACCCAAACTTGTCTCGAAGGATTTGCGCAAAAGGATTAGGCCGTTTCAATCCGTTTCAAGCAGATCGTTGAGGCCTTGCTCCAAGCTTGGGCAGAGCGGGGCAGGGCAGCGGCATGTTTGTTTTTGTTTCTAGCAGATGTTGTTCTCTTGTTGGAAGAAGCTTGTGTATGTTGAGGACGTGCCCGCCTGGGGTCCGCGCCACTTCCAGAAGGGTGGGGGGGGGATTCAGTTTGGGTTTTGGCGGCCAGTTGGGTCAGGAATGATTGCAGTGACCGGATTGAAAAGGCGTGTCCGAACAGAGGTGCTGTGAAACTTCACCTTTGGGTCACTTCAAAACGCGGGCTTCCTTTGGTGACGTTTGTAGGTTGGACACTTCAAATTAGGATCCGCTGTCCCCACCACACCCAAGCTGGAATAGCTACGAGCACAGCTACCAGGCATGGGGCACGGAATCGCAGGTGGTGGAGAAAGGCGAACTGTCCACGGCGCTCTACTTCATCAAGCAAGGCGCGGTTCGGAAATCGGCCCTGCGAGAAAGGCCCTGAGGGTCGAAGCTGACCGCACCGCAGAGTCTGGTTTCTTTTCTTTGCTTTTCTTTGCTATTTTGTTCTTTTCTGTTCTACTCCGTTCATTTCCTTTCTTTTGTTTTCTTTTGATTTTCCTCTCCAACCAGCCTGATCCGCCGGGCGAAAATTGGCAAACCCAACAACTTTTCAGGTCACCAGGACTGTGGTTTGGGGGTAAGCTGACTCTTGACAGTGGTGTTTGATGGGGGGTCTTCCACAAAACGATCTGAAGAGTCTGAAGAGCCATCCCACCCCTAAGCCTAAGGAATCGCCTGGTTAATGTGTCAATTTGAGAAGGCGGGTCTTGGTGCCTAGTCAAGGGGCCGATCAGTCCAATGCAGTTTTCTTTGATGACAAAGTGAACCAAAGTAGTACCAAAAAAAATGTGTTCCATAGAGGTTGCTCTGTCAGTAGGGAAAGCAAATTCTTGTTGAAGGTTTTCAGATGCCATTAGCAGGATCTCCCTTCCAGAAAAACAACAACAGCAACAGCAATTTGGGATTGTTTCAGAATTGGGTACCTTCGCAGTTGGCTCTTTTGGCTTGCCTGAGAGACATGCGAAAAGTGGGAGCTCGGGTTCCATGAAGTCTTGCGACCAGCGCCGTGCGGACCCGGCTCTGAGAGCGGTTCGGGTACGCCGCGGGAAGCGGCCAGGCACGCTGCTGGTGGAAGAGAACCAAAAGGAGCTGGGCCCAGGCGCGATTGATTGGGGCGGGGGGGGGGGGGGGCCTCTTTCCGTGCTGGCGGGTGGCCTGTCTGAGGGGATACCTGAAAGTTTGCATGACTGGATTGCCAAGCTTCTTTGCCACGGACCCGAGCAAAAACCCAAAAGGTGGCAGAAGCGAAACGCAACCAAGCCATCTTCCCTTTCGACCACAGCGAGTTGTCAGGGGAGTTCTTCGGCGAGCGTGCGCTGCTGCACCACGCGCCGCGGTCCGCCACCGTGAGCGCCGTCACCGAGGCGCTGGGAGATGGGGAGATGGGGCGTGGGGTGAGCGCCTTTTTTTTGTGTGACATCAACCACGGCTGGTGAGAACCCATCCATAAAGTTGTTCATAGCAAGTCATGGGTTCAAAGTTCATCGTGGCTACATGAACCTGCAGCATCTACTGGTTGCAAGCGGTGGAGCCAAGAGTCAACCGCCAGGCCGAGCTGCTGCGGTTGGAGGCAGAGAACTTGCCAGCGGCTGAGAGTCGGACGGGGTGGGCGTCCTTGGGGAAGTTGTTTTAAGCGGGGGTTTTGTGGGGAACCCCCAAAAGCCCCTGGCGGCTTCGGCGCGGGTCCCACTTTCTCACCCTGAGATGAGGAGATGGACCCAGCAGGGGCTTCTTTCCCTTACAGGAAAAAAGGAATGGACTCCTTTGGGAGAGGGGTCACCCCAAAAAAGCCATGAACATGACTGTCAACAAATTTCTAGGTTGGTAGGGGTGGTCAACCCCTTTGGGATGTTAGACACCGAGATGCTTTAGGGAACCCCATGGCCCACAATCGACGCAGTTTTTGGCCGCATGCTATGTTTGTTCTTTCGTCTGACCAATCCCCAACGGCAAATGGACATGAATTTCAATCGGGCAGGGACCCTTCGTTGCAACAAAGACAGGGACTTTTGCAACTGCCAACTATTTCGATGGAAGTTCCAGCCGTTCAAGTTCATAGTCAAGAGCAGGGGATTTGGTTTCCCTTCAGCCCCCCCCCCCCAAAGGGTACCCACTCCAAAACAAAGACAGGCGCCAAAACGAGACACATTTGCCGCTGCTCAGGAAGTCGGTGGTGGGCAACGACGTGATGGTGTACCTTTCGAGGCGTGCCACGTGTCCCCAGTAAAAGTGGGGGTTCATCACTTGATGGGAAACCCCCAGTAAGTTGCACGGGTTAATATGAATCCAGGGTCAACATGATGTTTCCCCCAAGGGTGGGTTGAAACATCGCCTTTTTGAGAAGGCCTAGTCAAAGGGGGCTTCTTTTTGGTAGGTGAGCTTCTTGCAAATACACCCGTCAGCCAGAGTTCAGGTCTGACTCTTACGTTTCCTGGCTGGGAAATCGTTCCTGCCCAATGTGCGCAGTGGCAAAGGTTTGTTGCAGCTTTGAAGGACTCGACCGTCAAGGCCTGTGAAGGCCATATTTGGCTTAGCGGCTCATATGACCCAAAGGATGTTTCCATGAAGAAATTCATTGTTTTGGTGGAGTCTGGTGCTGCAAATAACCGGATGGATCGCCAGGCTCGAAGCTTCCTTGTTGGGAGAACCGGATTGCTTAGACAGAAATGGCTCCAGACTTGGGAATCTCACAAAGCCTGTGTGTGAGGAACATGGCTGCCAAGTTGTACACAAGTGCTTTGGTGAACCCCCTCCTTTCTACGTGAGTTTTGATCCAAACAGCTCATTTTTTTCTCCCGTTGGCGCCATGACGACCCCAAGCGCCGAAGCCGTCACCTTCATGAAGCAGAGCTTCCGCTACCCCGGCATGGATGAGCTCCTCGCCGGGGACCCCGTGCTCGCGGAGCTCTACGCGGCCGTGCGCGCCGGCATCGTCCGCAACGTGAAGACGCAGCCCGGCGGGTTCAAGGCGACGAGCGGCGTCGTGCTGCCGTACTACCTGAATCTGTCGACCAACTTCATGGACCCCACAGTGGCCCCGAAGATCCTCGCGCTCGTCACGCGCATGCTGCTGAAGCTGCACCCGACCATGGCCGCGCCTGGCGAGCGGGTCGCGGTGGTCGGGCCGGAGGTCGCCGGGGGGATGCTTGTGTCGCAGCTCGCCTGTGTGATGAACCCCGAGCTCGACGCCCTATACGACTTCTGCTACATGCGCAAGACGAAGAAGACCACCGGCACCGCGCAGCAGCTGGAGGGGCTCAAGATGTTCACCGAGCGCACCCCCGAGAGCCCGCCGCTCAAGGCCATCTTGGTCGACGATGCGAACTCGACCGGGTCGTCGCTGACGGCTGCGCTCGAGCTCCTCCTCGCAGACTACAACATCGAGGTGGTAGCCGCGCTGTACATTTGCGACCGCTCGCAGGACCGCGCCGACCTGGCGCCGGAGAAGATGTACCTCGCGCAGCCCCGGTACACGGAGGGCCGGACGCGCATCTTCGCGCTGATGGACCTGAAGGAGATCGACCCCCTCGTCCCGCGGGAGGAGCCGTGCGACGCAGATGGCGTAAAACGGCAGAGACTGGCAGAAGCGGAATGATGGGGGGGGGTGAGGCAGTGGATTGTCATTATGATGTGTGCCAAGACCAAGACGCGGGGGACCCTGCTGCTGCTGCCGTGCTCGCGCGTGGTTGCGTTGTGTGTAAGCACACACATTAGCTTCACGAGAACCAAGCGAGAAAGAAAACATGTCGGTGCATACGCCTTTGGCGCTATGCTTGTAGGGTTGCCACAAGCCGCAGAGGTCCCTCGTTTGCACGTTCCTTCCCCCTCTCTTTCCAATCATGCGAGCTGTCAGGGATTTTAGACAACTTCTAAGCCACATCCTCAAAGCCTAGATGAAGGTTTGGTGCAGACATCCGCCGTTTAATTTTGTCTATAAAAGGTTAGGCATCGCAATGTTTTGGAAGGCCGAGGCCAACCGGGCAACCCTGCACCTCCCACCGTGAAGCAAGAAAGGTTGGAGATGGCAACCTGCTCTGATCAGAAAACAACCAAATCACAAGGGGAAGGGGCAATCGAGCCCCTGTCTCACTCCCGGTTGGGGATGTCAACGCCAGACATGCCAGTCATGTCAAAGCTTGTTGATGTCAAATTTACAAAATACTGGAGGATGGATGCCCTTTTCGTTGTGAAGGGCAATTCCATTTCAACTTGGATGTTTCCTGACACCCAAAGCTGGGCGTCTCCCTGTACAAATCCAAACGAAGCCCTTCCTTCTCCTTCTTCATTCCGATATATCTTTATATGTCGTTGCTTTATTGAGCTCTTTTTGGATTGGGATTAAGTTGCATCACAGGACCATTTGCCATTCTAGGAGGTCCCCTATTTTCAGACACGCACACACACACACACACACACACACACACACACACACACACACACACACACACACACACACACACACACACACACACACACACACACACACACACACACACACACACACACACACACACACACACACACACACACACACACACACACACACACACACACACACACACACACACACACACACACACACACACACACACACACACACACACACACACACACACACACACACACTCACACACACACACACACACACACACACACACACACACACACACACACACACACACACACACACACACACACACACACACACACACACACACACACACACACACACACACACACACACACACACACACACACACACACACACACACACACACACACACACACACACACACACACACACACACACACACACACACACACACACACACACACACACACACACACACACACACACACACACACACACACACACACACACACACACACACACACACACACACACACACCACACACACACACACACACACACACACACACACACACACACACACACACACACACACACACACACACACACACACACACACACACACACACACACACACACACACACACACACACACACACACACACACACACACACACACACACACAAACACACACACTCACACACACACACACACACACACACACACACACACACACACACACACACACACACACACACACACACACACACACACACACTCACACACACACACACACACACACACACACACACACACACACACACACACACACACACACACACACACACACACACACACACACACACACACACACGCTCATGTGTTGTTGGATTTGACGTGACATGTTTGTGACTGTATATATTTTGTCTCGCTCTGGCGCCGAGCCAACAAATATAGCGTGCTGTGGATGGAGTTGGGATGGATGACACCCTATGAGCTGGTGCAGGATGTTGTTCGTGGTATGGTCTCCTCGTATTTTGATATTCGCCGAGCGAACCCGAGCCACGATCGAGATCTCTTGCTTTTTCTTGAAGCCAGCCAAAAACACGGTTGCCCCCAGGACAAAAAAAGAACAAAAAACAAAAACACTTGCCTACTTGCCAGGTTCCGGACTTGAGACGGTTCTTTCGGCTTGGCAAAGGATCCACTTTCTTAGTATGGTACTGTCATGACCCGTGGAGTGGGGAGTCGCAGCAATCATCATGAGGATGTCTTTGCAGGGAACCATGACCATGGCCTATAGCTATGCGGAGATTGACCGTGGCACAAGTGGGTCTATTGTTATTGTTGAGTTGGCTCCCTTTTAAGGGAATGATTCTGAGATAAGGCAAAGAGCAAGTCTCCAAATGAGCACACTCTAACAAGTCAGTGATTCTCCTTTGGTCTCCCTTAGCACCAGCTCCAAAAATGAGTCTTAACTCAACACAGAAACCTTCCGCATACATAGCAAGATGATTTGCCTTTGATTTCCTGCACCCCAAAAAGGCACACCCCCAAAAAACCACACAAAAAAAAGGGGGAAATAACAAAACAACGAACATCAAGTTGGAACCACAACCCCCCCTTTTCCCCCTCCCCCCCCCCCCCCCGACGCAACGTCTGTCCCGCCCGCCCAAAAACTCGGCCGGGGTAGGTCCCTGATCCTGGAGTCTCTGAAGGGGTCCCACGCCTGCGGCCAGCCGGGCGCCTAGCGGTCGACAACTTGACGATCCGGGCGGGTTGTTTGCGGGGAAACCAACCTCAAAGCAAAACCAAAGGGAAATCAAAGGAAACTAATGGTCGTATGGAGAAACCAAGTCTTGTGTGGGGAAATCAAAGGGAGACGAAAGGTGGTATGGAGAAGCCAAAGGTTGTAGGGAGAAGCCAAAGGGTTGTTGGGGCAAGCTAAAGGTTGTTTGGGGTACCCCCTTATTTGCAGAACCTATTTAAAGGGGAGTCCAAAAGCAAACAAGCCCCAGACACCGGTGGATTTTATAGGTGACTCAAAGTGAGGCAAATAACTGCTAGCAGAATGTCATTTTCTCACTCAGAGCAGTGGCAGCCGTCATTGCAGCCCCAAGACTATCAGTGACGAATCGCGACCATTGGAGACCATTAAGGACCATTCAGGGTCATCTTCCCATGGCTCCCCTTGCCATGGCTCTTGAATCATTGCAAGCTCAGTTGTTCAGTGGCACCCTTTTTCCTTTTTTTGGGTGGCTGCCCCACTAAAAAATGGTCTTACCCAAAAAGGGTTCCCTTTTTTTTCCAGGGTCACTGAACAACTGAGTAAGAACGGGCTTGGCCCATGGGAACATTGTGAAGGTAGCCAAAGAAGACTCGCCGAATTCAGTCGCTTGCAGGTTCTCAGCGACCCAGCAGTCGGCGATCCTGCAGAAGATGACGATCTCTGAGGCGGGCTTTTCGGAACCACCGGTTCTTGGCTTCTTGGTTTCGTATTTTTGCGTTCCTTCGGATTTCCAGGGGGCTGGGCGGGGCTCCCTTTTTCATTTCCTTGCCGGTTGCTTGGAAGGTCTTTGGTTCTGCTGATTTGTAGTGGCCGAGAACCTGCAAACAGTCAGGGCAGTGTTGCCCTTTGTCTCAGGGTCATGGCGGTGGTTGTGACACATTCCCATTTGGACTTTTTCGCTTGGACGCTTCCCGGAAGCTGAGGAAAACCCGTTTGGGTCTTTGGTGACATCCATGGTCAGCAAAACTGGAAACGGGCCGCCTGAAAGAAGAAAGGCAATGTTCAAGGTCGAAACAACAACAATCAACCAGACCGACAAGCAGGCAGGCAGACAGACAGACAAAAAAGACACAGAGGCATTCAGCCACAGATAGAGACGGAGACAGAGACAGGCAGACAAGAGATAGACAAACAACTCAGCAGACCAGGATTTGTTCAGGGTTGGGGTTGAACAGGGTCGATTTATGCAGCCACTTTTGTGATAGCTTTCGGGAAGTATTACCTCTAAGGTTTCAAAAAAACAACAACAAAACATGGGGATAGGCTTCCAGTGGTATCACAGAAGTAATGCCATGGGCACTTAGTGAAGAAGGTAGACACGCAAAAAAGACTCAGTCCAAGATTCACCGTCTTTGCTGTAGTAACAGAATGACATGGGGCACGCAAAACCCCAAATGGGCAATAGTACATATGGGTGGAGCCGCGTCGAAATCCCATGTGAGTCGCAAGGGACTCGCTGAATATTGACCGTTGCATAGTTTACATTTCTCTCTCTCTCTCTCTCCCTCTCTGTCTGGACTTGATTATTTGCAGTTTGAGAAGGTGAGGTGTGGGGTTGCAAGCGACCATATGGGAACTTTTTTTGAGGGTACCCGGATCGGGTGGTTTCAAGGGGCACCCAAAGGAACACCATGGGTTCTCCTTTTGGTTTACCTCTTGACCCCCTTTTGAGGCTCTCAATCATGAATGCCACGCATGATGCCATGACCATGAGGTCATTTGGTTGAAAGGTACCCAGCCCCCATCGCCGCGCAGAGAATCCGCCGGACCAAGACGCGCAGGTGCCGGCCAACATGCCGATCCGCGAGGCGAAGTCCGATAAGTTCCTGCTGCTGGCACCTGGACCGAACGGTGTGAGTTATCTTCAGTCAGAAAGAGCTGGTTCGAAGAAGAAACGTGAAAGGGTCACATGCTGGTTCCTTCCAAAGATGGGTTTGTCTTTTGGATTCAGAAGCAGGCCTTTGGATCATAGACCTAGTAAGCCAGTTTCGTTGGTGCAGTTATCCTCCTCCACGGGTGATCTTTGATTCAAGCAACACCTGTGCTGCCCGAGGCAGTGATCCAAGGCGAAGTGCACGAGCCATGGCGGGAACGTTTGGCGCAGTGGTTCTTTGCCGTTGAGTTGGCAAAGCCAACAAATGCTGGAATTTGGTTAACATAATTTGGGTACCCCAACAAAGTTGCTGTCCTTCAATTTGCCTAGAGGCAGAGGGTTGGATGTTGCCAAGAAGCAAAGCTTTCAACATTGTTGCCCGGAAGGATGGAGAATCCCCCAATTCAGAAGTGGGAGGAGGGTTTGGTCGGTTGGGGCAGGGTTTACATTTCTCGGCCCCATTATTAGGAAGCAGCGGAAACCCAATTCATGTAGGGTTTCTTTTGTGGCCAAAGGGCAAACGCCTTGATCTTTGTTTTCCCTTTCCTTGATTGTCGGTCGTTTGGATGATGCATGTCCAAGCCCCTAAATTGTAGAAAGAGTGGCCTTGGTTTCCCTTCACCGGCCAAAGTTCTATGCCGATTGGGTCGGATGGGAGCAACGCAGTAAGGGCACCTCCAAACACACTTGCACGGAGGCTGATCTCCCCGTTGTTCAGCATCCATTTTTCGAGAAACCTACACTTGGCTTCCAATGGTGCAAGATCTCGTATTCGGTGGGGGGTTCGCCCTTGTTGAAAGGGCAACTTGTTCGGGGGCCCTCCTTTGCTAGAGACATACACCCAGATAAAACCCTGACCAATTGAAGGGCTCCCCAATTTTGGGAAGAACCTAGCTAGAGCTCGGGTTGTGGTCGAATCAGCCTTTGGTTTCCCAGTGGTATCACAGAAGTGGGACGGTGCCCTGCTCGATTTTCCCAGATGCGCCATAGTTTGTTGCTTCGATCGTGTTTGAGGAAGTCCATTGTCTCTGAGCCTTACTAGTCTACGGAGCTTTCCGGGAATTACAGTCTCCAAGCTGCTGAACCATCTTCGTAGACACCGCAGCATGAAGCCGCCCGCTTTTGACCCGGGTTGGTGCCCGCTCGCTTTTCAGGGCAAGTCGTCTGAAGCTCGCGACGTAGACTTTTCCGGGGGCGCCCGCCACACCTCCCAGAGCCCAACGCCTGCGACCCCGAAGCGCTCGCTGAGGACATCACCAGGCTCGGGGAGCCCCAGGTGTTTCTCCCCGGCACGCCCTACGAGTCCAAGGCGCATGCAAAGCGAGGGGGAGGGGCGATGCGGTCCTACGGGCGAGATCGGCGTGAGGACTGGACCTTAGTCCCCTAAAGGAGACGACGGCTAGCCATCTGGACCAAAATAGGAGGTTCGAAACTTTGGGCTTTGCAGCAAGCTCGTCAACCCATTTTTTCGACTTAAGGGTTCCCTTGTTTCTGTTTTGGCGGGGCTGGGCGTCCCTTTCAATGCAACGAGAAATAAGGCTGCTCCTCCGACCGTGCCTACGAGATGATAGATGATCAGATCACAAGGGAAGACAATTGAGCAGCACCCAAACCCGTGGTTCTACTACTTGGTTTCATTGAGGTTTTTGTGAAACCTCTATAAAGCTTCAGAACTACGTTGGGATCAAAAGTCAATGGGTTCTGGGCGCTCAATTTGCCATGCTTCCTTTGGTTTCTATATCAGCTTGTGGCAATCCATTCGGCCGACTGGGACCCCGGGCAAAGTCCAGTCCGCAGATTCCTCTCTTTGGGGCCCGGACCGAACGTGAAGGCCGGGGGTTGGTTTACACATCCGTTGTCAGCACCTAAGTTGTTTTAAAACTCGTGCAGGGAAGAAACGTGGCCGTTAGACAACGCCGTACATCTGAAACGCAACTAACGAATCCGCCAGCAAGGCGCGCCGAGCCGCGAACTTGCGCCTCAGGCGAAGGAAGTGGACAAGGTCTCGTCGCCCCAGTCCGTGACGATGCACCTTGGGCAGCACATAAAATCTTGTCTCTCTGTCTGCTGCCTGTCTGCCTGTCCTGTCCTGTCCTGTCCTGTCCTGTCCCCTCCTGTCCTGTCCTGTCCTGTCCTGTCCTGTCCTGTCCTGTTTGTTTGTTTGTTTGCTTGTTTGTTTGTTTGTTTGTGTGTTTGCACGAGAGCCTTTGTGAATGGCACACTTGTTTGAAAGGCATGTTGTTTGGCTGCTCAATGAAAGACAGACCAATTTTCACCCAACGCCCAAGCTGTTTGACCGGTGTCCGAGTTGCTTGCTCCCCTACACAACGTGGCACCCAAAGAGGGGAAATCAGCTTGCGGGATATACGTTCTAGACATGCCGCTTCCAGCAATCTTGCCATCGTGGCTCCGATGTGTGGTGATGTGGCTAGTGCCTTACACTTGGTGACAAGCAGAGCGATGATGAAATCCTTTTCATTCAGGTCACCCGCCTCCAGATGTGTCAAAGTCTTGGCAATCGATGCAAGCCCAACAGGCAATGCGTCTGTATTCTCTGTAAAAAAGATTCCTCCCAAGAGGGCTGCGTCCTTGTCATTTTTTCCTAGGGTGTAGGGCGCAAAGCGGGGGGACCCCAGGGTTCGAGACTGGTCCATTCAAAGCCACACACTTTTGATCGCGAGCCTTTTCTGGGGCCACCATCTCTCGTGTGGTTTGGGCATCTTTGCTGGTGGGCTGTTGCATGAGTCTCATGTTCCCCGTTTGAATCGAACTTCTATCATAGGTAGGCAGCTAGGATAGGCGGGAAAACAACCATCCGGCGATGGCAATTCGATCAGAAAACACCATCGGGATGGATCCCTTTGGAAAGCACCTGTTTTATCAAGGGGTTCCCAACAGCGGCCGTCTACGTTTATCACCCAAAGGAATTGTCAAACCGAGTGAAAGGACACCGCGGGGACAAGAATTCATGGAATATTAAACAGGCCCTTCTTGGTGGGTTTCTTTCCTATCTGTTCCCCTTGCAGCTTGGCTTTGATTGACGTTGGTTTGTTTTGAGACTTTCGCTGTCGGTTGGTTTGACGTCGGATGTTGGTCGCTTGTAAACATCCCACCTGGTCATTCCGACTGGGGTCCTCTATTTTTGGTTGGACCTAGCTAGACCAGGATGCCAAGACGCCGCATAGGAAGGCGACAACGGCGACAACATTTTTCAGTAAAAGGCGGTTAGCGCTGGAAACAGACTCATCATTAACAAGTGGCACAAGTGGCGCTGATAGGCTGATAGTTTGGCAGCCTTGACTACTAACTGCCAACTGCACTGCCAATTTTTAGGCCACCTAGGCCTAGGCTAGGCCTTCTAAAAAGTTTGCAGCTTGAAAGTCGAGTCTAGCGTGCGCCGGGCGCCGCAGCCATCATCGCAGAGTCGCAGATTCTCAGATGATCGCAGGGCGGCAGGGCAGCCGCGTTACTGCACTTAGTAGTACTAGTCTGACTAGTCTATAGTCCTATAGTCTATTGAATAGTCTATTGTTACTAGTATGGCTTTGCATTTCGACCCTCTGAAACATTAACATTTCGAACTTCTCGAGTCAGCCTTGAGGTCCTGGACTTCAGGGCCGTGACTCGATTCAAGTCTCAAGGGGCCGGGCCGGGCCTTCAAGGCTTCAAGGCTTTAAAACCCGAGACTTGAGTTACTTGAGTTACTTAGTAATTTCTGACCTCTGAACTTCTGAACTGGAAACTTGCGACTTTGCGATGATGGCCTGTTAGTTGGCGCCAATGTCGCCAAGCACAGTTTGTGATGACCTTTCAGCTTTCAGCCACCACCAGTCAACAACTGAAGAATTTACTGACAACGCAAAACATCGGCGCGCCGGCGCCGCCTTCTGGCTCATCAGGTCTGACGGTCTGACCCTGACCATGGTCTGGCTTGCAGCTGGGCAATAGCATGCCAGCCAGCCTAATGGTTCGTCAGCTGGCCCTGACCAGGACGAAGTCGAAGGCAAACCTTGGCGGCCTTGGCGAGGATGAGGTGGACAGCTTGCGACTGCTCCGACTGCGCTGCGGCAAGAAGCGCAAGGGCCAAGCTGGCCAACCCATTCCTGGAACGCTGACACAGGGAAGCGCAGCAACCATGGCAGCTTCAGGCCCCCTGACGCCAGAGGAGTACTGCGCGGACTGCGCGGAAACTGTGTCTGAAGACGACGATGAGTCTACTGATGGCAGCAACTTGGATCTCGAAGACCCACGATCGTCGCAGTCGCCGTCGTCGTCGTGGCCATTGTCATTGTCAGAGTCAGGGTCCTGCTCGCAGTCGCAGAGTGAGGCTTCTGAAGCCCGGGCCCAGACTCAGACGCCAGGGCCGCCAGGGCGCAGAACAGAGCTACAGTGCACACTCACACTGTTTTGGCACTGGTCATGCCGAGCAATTTGCGACGCTGAGGGTTGTGCTGACCCTTGTTGGAGACCTGTGTGTCACCCGTTTAAGTTCAAGCGCCACTTGACGCATCGCTGTGTTTTGCATGCTGAGTCGCAAGTATAGGCACGGCACAACTACAACAGTAACAGGCAACAGAGTCAGAGTTCGTTGTGTGCCACACTACTGTGTGCCTATAGCGCGCACGGCGCAGCATGCGCTCAAGTTCAAGATAGGGGATTTATGCCCTTCAGGCTTGGCTCTTAGCATTAGCTTGTCATGCCACGCCATGCTGTGAGTGACTTCAGCTTTGTTTGTAAGTAATTGTTTTCCATTGTGGGGTCAAATCAGTTTCCAAGTTTTCGGAGTCTGGCGTCCAGTGGTTTTGGGCCAGGGCCGGCCAGGGCCAGGGTGCCTGGCTGCGGTGCTCACAGCAAGCATTGCCCAAGAGTGCAACGAGCAGCGAGCCTGAGGCAGAAAGAGGGTTTCGCGCATGACTACGCCTGTGACCAAGTGTTTGCTGCACGCAACATGGCACATGGCTTTGAGCCATGAGCCATGATGACTGTGCATGTGCCGTCTCTTGCTGTCATGCTGTGAGTTGTGAGTGAGTGATACCTTAGGTCGGTGCTTTGCAGATTGCAGACTGTTGAGTTGAGTTGCGCTTTTGCAAAGCGAAAGCCAAAACATGTTGTTGGCTCAAACTTGCTGGTAGTTTGCAGCTTGCGGTTGGCCTTTGTCACATGGCAGCATTTCGGAACGAGGAAGAACTCGAAGTGCCACTGTGGCTGGCCTTTCGCTTCAATGATAGGCATCGCTTCCGATCATTCGAGCCACGCTCTGTCAATGCTTGCCGTCAACAGCGTAACCGCCGGGACGCGGAGCCTACAGTGGTGGCCCGCAGTGTGCTGGCCACTGCTGCAAAAGCCGCTCAGAGCGGCGGCGTTGCAGAAGGCCCGCAGCATGTGAAGTGGTCAGCCTGCGGCGGATGCATGGGCACAGTGTTGGAATCCATGTGGCGCAATGTGCTGCACATAGTGGGCAACAACTATGACCGAGCAAAGGGCATATTTCTCAGCACGCTTGAAAATCAACAACAGTTGGTGGCACTTTGCAAAGTTTCTATTGTCACATTTGAGGATGGGTTACTGGCAGCGCTCAGTCATGAAGAACGGTTCATGTCTGAATTTCACAACCAACTGCCCTGTGTTCTTTTGCGGGTACTTGATGTTTGCAGTCTGCAAAGCCTGAGCCTCAATGCAATCCCGTTCGAAAGAGGTGGCCACCAAACCTCAGTTCTATTCAGCATGCATCCAGAGCAAGTGGAGAACTTGTGCCAACTTGACAGCGTGCAGCAGTTTGCTGGAAGGTCAGGGTGGAGCGTTGAGCAACTTAAGCGTTGCAGGCTTGGTTTGCAAACTTGGGCGCCATTCGGACTTTTAGTTGCTGAAGGGAGGTGGGCATGCTTAGGTTTTCCTGTGCTGCAGAGGATGCCGCCTTCTGTTCCTGGGCAGTTGAAGGCAGCTGCAAAGACTGTTCTGGAGCAGTGCGAAGCCAATTACGAGGGCGGCCAGCCTCAAAACCCTGGGCCGCAGGACTTGCAAAATCCTCACATCTTGAGGGAGATGGCTGAAAAAGTTAGACATTGGTCCAGAATCATTATTGGGCACGGCCCACAAATGGATGCAGAGCAGGACAGGTTTGATTTGGAAACAGCTGTGAGTTTTTTCGAGCAACATGCTAGTTCGATGGAAAACATGTTGCGAGATCCCATGATGGAGCGATATGGAAGATTTGGTTTTCAGAAGCGATTTCGCATGGTGCAGCTCTTGCGTGTGGTGCTGTTTGCCAGGGACTTGCGCAGCCAAACTCAGGCCCAAGATGCGCTGCTGAACGCGTTGAGGATGCTGGATGTTGGAGAGGCAAACTTTTCCTACCTGAAAGGCATTGTGGAGGACAAGGCATTTTCATTGCCAAGGAAAACAGTTCTATATCACATGAGATTTGTGGTGGATTGCGGCCTGATGTTCTTCCACAGGAAATGTTTGCACAACATGTTGTCAAGCGCGCGCACCGAGAGGCCGTGCATTTACGCGATGGTGGACAGCAGCCCCCAAGGAGGAAGAAATATTGTCAACTCAGAGTACGATTATGTGCTAGGTGAGGATTTGCTGGAGCTGTGCAGCATTTTTGCAAACATGGTTTCAGGCATGAAGACTCTTAGACACCGTGACCCTTCTGTGCGTGAGGTCGTGGCCATCTTCGAGGAGCAATGCGACATGCTGGAGCGGGCTAAGAGACTTATGCGACACCATGCAAACATTCCTGTTGCGCTGGGCTCTGGGTGCGCAACCTTGTTGCATGAGTTTGTAGCTCTTCAGCATTCTATTTTCATGGAGGCTGGTTCGACAAAGGTTCTGACTGCCTTCAACGCGGCTGTGGTCGCCATAACCACAGATCGAGGTGTTGAGAAAGGTTTGGTCCATGTGCCTTCAGTGAACTTTGGGGCTGTGTTTCCTTTTTTCGTTTCGCAAGCTCAAGGGTTCGAGGTTGATGGAGGGGATGCTCATGCAGCCAGGGACATAGACGATGGCCAGGCTGAACAGGCTGA